TCATCATAATGTTTCTACCACTTATAGTATCCACATATATGGTCTCTTTTATGGGAGAGTCCTCCACATACACATTTCATTGTGCGTAGTCAAGATGATGCACACGGGAGGTACTAGAAGAATGTTTACGAAGATGGAGAGCCACGCTGAAGGTTGGGTGTTGTTAGAAATATAATGCTACTTGGCGCCCCCATTTGGTTGCTATACTGTGTTGAGCCAGAGGCACAGAGTTGCTCACCACGGCTCCAATGGTTGTTGGTCTGTGTTGAGATAGCGGAAGCCAATTGCTCATCATAGGGTCCAAAACTCTTATGCACCCCGATTGGGTCTCTCCACCCCCTCATGCATGCTCTTGCTTCTTCGATACCTTACTCGGGTGCTAGAAGAATGTTTTGTGAGGTGGTTGTATTGTAATGTGTTTGTACACTTGATTGTAACATTGACCTAGTTGGCAAAATATCGTACGCTTGTAGTCTTTGTACTATGTTTGTAGACTTCAAATAATTTCCTGTTTTCTATAGTTTAAATTAATTTTTGTGTGTCTAGCATCACTGCCGGTTTACAAATTACACGAGAGTGTTTCATAATTTTTAGAATTATTTTGAATAATTTTAGCTACAAACATGAACGGATGCACAATATGTAACATAATATTTAGAGCCTTGGTACAATGTAAACAATCTCAAATAGCACTAAACAAACTAGACCTACAATGTACTTTAAGAGGATAAGGATTTTGCCTCCAATTCCAACTAAAAGAGAGAAATTCTTCGCCAGTTGTTCATCCATAGACTTCTTCTAATTCACGTCTTAATGCATATCAGGTGCACTCTCATCAGCCTCCTCAGCCAATTTTTTAGCGGCTAAACTAGTATCATCCCACTGAAAATTAAGAACACTAAATCATGAACTTCGAATCAAAATCGTCACAAAAAATGTCTAGAAATTATTAAAAACATGGCCAACAAGACCTAACCTTGCGATCCAAAAACTTGTAGAAGATGCGACTATAGTTGGGACCTTCCTTCTTCACCCTGACAATAAAATAGTGTGTTGCTTACATTTGTTGCACGTAATGAGAGGGAGCTCCGACCTCAGTCTACGAACTTCATGCGAGGCCGTGGACCTAGACGGGGACGCCATCTATATGGCCAGGACACCTTCCTTTTTGGCAAAACTAGTTGCAACAACAGAGACAAGGATGTGATATTGGGGATGACTGAGCCAGGCACTGGTCAAACCAAGTACACATTAGACAAATAAAGGCTTGAACCATATATCACTGCCGGGTCAAAATATCACCCGATAGTGATCTAAGCGCATCACTGCCGGTTGAGTTACTCACCTCGCAGTGATATTACTGCCGAGTCAAGTTTTGAACCGATAGTGATATTGGCACAACATTGTCGGGTTAAGACAAGAACCAGCAGTGATGTTCTTTTCCTATATATTGGAAATTTTGTTCCCTATCCTTTGGTCTGTCTCCCTAGAACCAATTCATCTTCGTCACACAGCCATCTGCATCTGCACTAACTGCAGGAGCCCTAAGACCGCCATCAGCGACCCCGACCCCAACACTGTTGGCCATTAGCCGCGCGCTCCCTCATCCCCATACCTGTGTGGTTGCTTGAGAGAGGCAAGGAGGTAAAAGAGACTTCGACTTTTGTGGTCACTTCGACAATGAAGATGTAGATACTCCTTAGTGGGGATGCCGAACCTCGGAATAAATCATTGTATCCTGCATGCTTGTTGTTGTTGTGATTGCTTGAAATTACTTATTCTTTGTTGTCTCTTTCTCCTCAAGCTTATTCTTAGAGTTTGGCCCCGATCTATCAATTGGAGGTGTTCCAAGGCCAAGGAAGTGGTTCAACATCTTCATCTATCTAGTAAGAAGTGGGGTAAAAAGCAGATTCAAACTTGAAGTTCATTTGACCTCTGATTGCACAAATTTCATAGGCGTCAAAGCTTTTGACCAGGTTACGTCGAAACTTCTGATAGGTACTAATCCATTGTTTATAAGTTTGTGTTTAAGAATTTTTAGATACGCCTATTCACCTCCCTCTAGGCATTGTAGATCCTTTTTAAGTTTGTGGTGGCTATTCCTTCTATCAAAGCATGTGTCGTAGTTGATTATTCGGATCTCTTGAAAACCTCAATCAAATTGTGTATCAATAGTCAACCTCTCCATTGCCTCACATCTTTCATGTACTCCTTATAGTGGAATCCATAATCTCTATCCAATATGTATTTTGTATCCACACAATTTATTTCTGGCTAATCGAAGCCTTTTAAATCCAGAGTTGGCTGATAGAATGTTAAGAATGATTTGTATTTAGTGTTGTACATCCTTTGAATACTCGCTACCTCTAGAAAATGTATAGCTAAAATGACAATATAAACCTTAATTGGTAGTCGCTGAGCTCTTCCTATTACAATTATTTAGTGAGTGCCTTAGATGCCTCTCGAAGAGCTTTGGGGCCATCCTTGTTTCGTTGACATTTACATTTGGACAGAGAAACATATAGTTCTTAGAAATTAGTATCGCTGCGATGTCTCCTAGAATGCAAGGGCACATGTCTCTTTTCTAATTTCAAAAGAGGAATGTTGCCTAACCCTCCACCCTCTTACATAAAGATCTCCGTCTAGGAGCAATATTGTCAGTGATTAGCCATTGTATTCATTGTTTAATAAAATGTGTCATCATCCTTGTGTAGTAAAGATGAGGAGGCTAGATCCATATATATGTGAAACATGATAGCATATGCCATACTTTAAGCAACATCTATGAACTACTTCGATTGCCCATTGAACGCTCTTTGGAGACTCTTCTTTAGATTTGTAGCACATGCCATACTTTAAGCACCATCTATAAAAATTTTGATTGCCCTTTGAATGCTCTTTGGAGACTTTTCTTTAGATTTGTTGGTCTTTGGAGACTCTTCTTTAGATTTGTTGGTCTTTGGAGACTCTTCTTTAGATTTGTTGGTCTATAACCGAACATGAGAGATGTGGAAGTGGAGAGAGAGCAAATGAGTGATGGGCCATAGGTCCTCTCCACCTTCCCCCTCCCCCTCTTTTTATAAGGGATGTGGGATGAGAGTTTTTCATTCTTTCCCCTGGTGTGACTTGTATTTACAAAAAAAATCTCTAGGGGCTACAAATGAGCCCTAAGCATTCTTAAACAAAGCCCCCAGGCTTTGAAATTGGCCCTAAACACTCTACTAGGGTAAGTACCATCTGCCTGACCCCAAACAAGATTCATCCTTAGATTTATCTAAACATATTTTTGCCATGTTGCTCACATCCATCTCTTGGATAATGTTCATAAGTTAGCATATGAAAAAAAGATCCATAACCGATCAATATATCTACAAGATGAATCTATACTCCATATATATATAGGAAAATGCACAAAGATTAAGAGGAACTTTTTTGCCAAAAAAATCATTGGTTCAAATTAAAAGAAATTAAATTAATGGTTTGAGTACTTCTTGGGGGTAAATAAGGTAAGTTATGCCCGTTGAAATAAACTGATTATGGTGATACTATAATGAGGTTAGGGCTCCCAATTAAGGATTAGGGTTTGGGTTGGAGGCCCACCAGAGTCCAGTAGGGCCATGGTGGCAACAACAAGGTGGCCAGGGTGCTACCAGCAATGGTAGCCAATGATAACAAGTGGGAAGGGTCAAAATGGGGGTGACCATGGCGATTAGGCGATGATGGAAAGCTAGTGTTGGATTATGGGTGGCTGCCAAGCCAAGAGGATTACCGAGGAAGAAAAACACATGGTTAGAGATAAAAGGCGCATGTCATACATCGGATTGCTCAGACAGCTTCAAATCTTGTTACACTCTTTTGTATTGTGTTTCCTACAAGAACTTTTCGAAGGAGAAAATACCTAGTGAAAAGAACATATAAAGTTTGCACTTTGATGAAAAAGAAAATTTTCCAATAGAGTCATGGAATCATCATACTGCATGTTTACCTTTTCTGGTTATAACTCCTATTTTTTTATGATGAAGCTTGGTTAGAGCCAATGAGGTTATCAAATCCCGCATGTTGCCTCCTTCGCATTGATTGAAGTTGTGTCCTACATCTACCTTGTCCAATGTTTCAAATATTCTCAATGATGTTGGTAAAATTCATGTGGATGGTGGCTTGGTTCAATTTGTATGGATATATACCAGCATAGGATGGTCTTGAGTGGTTGCTTAATCATTTCATCAGTTTTAGTAGGGATGATCCCATCATGGTGGAGCAGGTGCACATCCATAATTATCTTCAAATATTTCAAATTACTTAGAATACAAGACCTAACATGCCATATGCTACAACAACATAATCTATTATACATTACTAGGATGGAGTGCCAATGTTGTATTACTTTGTTTTTTGATCATTTATAATGGTTGTTGTCTCACTTTGCACTCTTGATTTCCCTAATAAATATAAATACGATAAGATTATTGTGGCTCATATTTTATTATCTTATAGTTCCCATGTAATATTTGGTGTTATAGCTGAAAAAAGAGGCTTATGTGTTATTAATTGATCCAAAAGTAGCAAAATAATTCATTGAGTTGTATAAGCTACTAATATCCTAAGTCTTAGATTGTGAGATAGTTTCACTATGGAAACAAATCAAGTTATGAAATTTAGTATCACATGTTCCAGATAAAATTAGATATAATACTTAGGGCACTTCGCAGCCACTTTTGTACACCACACAAAATCGATTTTCTTTCGGCCAATTCCCTTAGTGCCATTGAAAATTTTACCTCTTCTCTCACTGCCATCAAAAATTTTGAACTTCCCTCACTGTCATCAAAATACTTTACACTTTCCTTATTGGCATTTCCATCAACATCTGTTAAGTTTATTGTTAAGTTGATCTAAAAATAACCATTTTGCCCCTCACCCCTATAGCGGCGGTGGAGTGGCTAGGCCCACGGGCGTCGTTCAGCCTCAACGACACGGGAGGATGAGGCGGAAGGGAGGCTATGGCTTCGGGAGGGAAGGCCAGGCCCAGCGCTATACCCAACGTCGGCACTGACTTCGAGTTACTGCTTGGCAGATGCGCCGCCGCATGCTCCATGCTCCCCATTGATGACCTCTTCTCTAGGGGCAAGCTGGTCCCGCTCCGTATCCCGACGCCCAAGGATGAGATGGGTGCGCTCGGGGTGGTGAAGGTCGAGGTCGAGGTGACTGCGCAGTCGATGCTGCTGCCGAAACAGGAGGAGCCCCTGGTGCCGGCGCAGCAATAGTCGGAGACGCCGTGGGTGGAGGGAGAGGCGGCGGCGGCGGCGAAGGACGCCATGCAGGATCTCCTGTGTCTACGAAAGCAGCAAGTGGCAGCGTCGAAGGCCCGCGGTGGAGCCGAGGCCGCTACGCTGGTTCCTCCGTCGGGCCCGAAGCCACCCGAGCCGGAGCCGTCGCTGAGCTTGCCACTGCTCCATGAGCCCGGCCTTGAGGACACCTCGGCACCGCCGATGCACGCCTTTGAACCGCTAGCGCATGCCTCCGTGCCGCCGGGCCACTGCCGGCTGCCCCAGTCACATTCGTAGTCTGCCTTTAGACATTGAAGGGTGGGCCCATGGTGTCATTGGAAGAGGGCAAGGGAGGTCATTTTGTAGTTGTTGAAAAAATGTAGTTCTTGTGGGTCCCACTAGTTAGCGAAAGAAACTTAAGAGATATTGATAGAAATGATAATGATGGAAGTGTGAATTATTCCGATGGTAGTGAGGGAAGTTCAAAAATTTTGATGGCCGTGAGAGAAGAGGTAAAATTTCGAATAGCAGGGAATTAGCTCATTTTCTTTTGTTCATAGGCATATGACGGCGAATAGCATGAATAATCCCATCACTACAAAAATCATTTTCTTTTCTTTATTCATTTGACACAAGCTTATCTAGTTAAATATTTAGGATTCAAACAATAAATTAATAATGACCTTGGTCATCAACTATAACATACCCCTTTTAAGTACACAAGTAAACCATCGTAGGGGAAGAATCTAGCTCCAGCTATTGTTTACTTATAAATGAAGAACTACTAAGGCCCTGTTCGTTTATCTTATAATCCATTTTTTTCAGCTTGTTTTTTCAGCCGGATCAGTGTTTTTTTCTCACAACAAATCAGCCGGAATAGTGTTTCGGCTTATTTTTTCAGCGAAGCGAATGGGGCCTAAATAATGATGATTTTGTAGGGTTCTCCCATCGCATTAGGGTCTGTTTGGAACAAAGGAATATAAAACAGAGGAAAGGAAGAAAACGCAGGAATGAGATGCAGGTGTTGTGAGAAAATAGAGGAAGAGAAAATAAGTGTCACTATGAGATGTAGAAAATTATAACAATATTTATATCTCTAAATATATTTACTATGAAAATATATTCAACGATTCACCTAATGATACTAGTAATTATATACCATAAATATTATTATTTGCTTATATATATATTTGGTCAAAGCTTTGGAACATTGGAGACCCCGGTGATATTCTGTGCTGGCTTCGCCTTATATAGGATCGCACGTAGCGCAAGTGGCAGGAGCCTGTGGCTTGCTCCGTGCCGACCAGCATTCGAGTCCCAGACTCGGCGCTTGTCCCTCACCTCAGAGATTTATTCTCCGTTAATAATATCAGTTGCCTCTCGCGCAGATGTGCCACAATGGTCAAGTGACATGCCCGCCACGCTCAGAGTCTGAGGATCTTCGAGTATCTTTCAGCTGCGTTCGTTATCTAGATATAATTGTAGGTTTATTCGTATACCGTGTGTAGTGGTATGTGTCTGTATCTAAACAAATTCTACAGCTGTACTTAGGATGAAAGAAAAAAAAATGTAAAAACGAGGTGTTCCGTGTTCGGTAAGCTCTACTATGTTTGTTTGGTGGTGTTGTGTTGATTAATAAGGTACTCCACTAGGTAAATTGGAGCGATTGAAACTAGCCGTGGCTGTTTGGATTTGCAACCTTCCAAGGCAGCCATGGCTCTATGTTTCCCGTTCTACTTGCGGAGGAGTCCATTTCCGCGGTCACCGGCCCTTGTTTGGCAGTTGCCTTGCCGGTGTGGATTTGGGATGCGCTCCTGCTATGGTTGCAGCCAAACCTTGCCCCGCCGTTGCCGGGCAAGGCGAAAGAAAGCTATAAACTATTCGCTTGGTCGTATTTGGTTTATAAGCTATGATTTATCAGCCAACGAATAATATTTTTCTCTCATACCAAATCAGCCAATAGTACTTTCAGTCATGACTTATAAGCCAAACCAGCCTAAACAAACAGAGCGCTAGTTGCTGCTTTGCTTGATCTAGCACAGACAACTCCACTTGTTCCCAGTTGCTACCATCGATCGTTCACAACACTTTCCGTTTGTATTAAGTACGATCTAAGCAAGCAACAGGGAGAGATCACTGCTGACACCAACAGATTACAACACCAGTAGTCAACTAAATTAACAGCGGCAGTAGTCCGCCCTTCACTTGAGCGGTGAGCTGCCGGTGCCGGGGTCGCACGCAACGCAGCCTGGCAGCCAGCAGGTCAATTGCAGCAAGGCTGGCTGCTCACCGCAGGCGGGCCTCCAACGCCTTCTTCAGCTCCTCGCCGACGTCGTCCGGTGAAGCGGCAGGCTCCCTCGCGGTCGCGGCGCCCCGCTGCGGCTTCGTCGAGTGGTAAGGCTGCGGCCGCGGGTGTGGCTGCGTCTGCAGCGCGGTCGCCGCCACCCTGCCCTCACCTCTGCCCGCCGCAGCAGCAGCGGGCCGCGTGGCCCTGCTGTTGCTGCGGACCTCCGCGCGGAGATCCTCCACGGCGCGCCGGAGCAGCATGTTGTCCACGTTCAGTGACTCCAGCTGCTGCCTCACCAGCGAGAACGCCGCGTCGCCGTCCGAGTCCGCGTCCGTGCAGGCCAGGGTGGCTGCAGGTGCTCGGCCGACGGCCTTGGTGCCCGCGCCGGCGCGCGGAGACTGCTCGATGGAGACCTTGCTCATGACCAGCAGCGGCATCTTGCTGACGGGAGCGCGCACGCCCTTGCCGTCGCCATCGTCGGCGAGCAGCTCCGGCGGCACGCGGAGGCCCCAGTTGAACCGGAGGCTGGCCCTACCCCACAGCGGGAGCACGCTCCTGGTCGTGAGCCGCATCCCGGACAGCAGCGCGCCGACCCCGCTCTTGGTCCCCGCCGCCGCGACGTCGGCCGCGAGCCCGCTCCCGGTGAACGTGAACGGCGGCCTATAGTCGAGGAGCTTCACCTCCCGCCCGTGTCCGCCGCCGCCGTCGTCGGAGCCCGGCTCCCCGACCTTCCGCGGCGCTGGCGCCGGGGCGGCGGCGGGGGAGCGCAGCGTGTGGGAGAGGGAGAAGTCGCCGAGCCGCGGCTTGAGGCGGAGGAAGAAGGCGGGCGACGAGGAAGGGTCAGGCGCGAGGAGGTTGAACTCGGCGGCGAGCGCGAAGGGCGCGCGCGCCGGGGAACCCAGCGGGCCCAGCCCCGCGCGCACGGTGAGCGCGAAGGGGAGCGCCGGGTCGTTGGGGCGGTACGAGAGCCGGAGCGCGGGGCCCGACGCGAACGCCGTGGACACGTCGAAGCGGAGCTCCCGCCGGTCCCCGCCCGCCGCGAGCCCCGACTGGAACGGCAGCCCCAGCACGGCGATCGGCACCTTGGCGCGCATCAGCGGCCGCTCCTCGTCGCGGAACTTGATCGACGCCTTCATCGGCAGGGATGGCGGGCGCTGGCGCGGCGCCGGGAAGTGCGGTGGTGTTTGCGACGGAGATCAGGACGCTTCGGGGGCGGCGCCGCCGCCGGTGAGATCAGATGCGGCGCGTGTGCTGCGGCTGCGAGGTGGGCGAGGATCGGCTGGGGGTCTGGGCCTCTGGGGGATTGGGAGTGGGTGGCAGGAGGCTGGTCTGACCGGCTGAGCCGGTGTGTGTTTTCATCGCTTCCGTTTTTGCCCTCGCCCTTTTCCTTGCAATTACATGTTTGCCATCTGCCCTCGGCCTTTGCCGCCATGTTACCACGAGAACGGGAAAGTGGAACGGAAAAAAGTTGGGACATTATTATTTTAACATGAGAACATGGACCATGGACATGTTCCGGTTTCAGGCTGCGCCTTGCCTGGTTTTGGTGAAACCCATGGTCAATGTGGACGACGCAGTACAATACTTTGGTCTTAGCTCTTGGTTGTGGGCCCTCCTCGGAAAGATCTGGGTCCCGTTCGCTTCGCTGAAAAAACAAGCCAAAACACTGTTCCGGTTGATTTGTTGTGAGGAAAAAACACTGTTCTGGCTAAAAAACTAGCTAATAAAGACGGATTATAAGATAAGTGAACATGTCACTTGTCTAGAGCAAGACCGATTCATTAGCTGCTAATAGTTAGCTAGTTGATAGCTTATAGGTAATATTAACTAGCTAACTATTAGTTGGTTTGACCTAACAAGTGAAATAGTTATTAATTAAGCAGTTAACTAACAATTAGCTAGACTATTAGTTGTAGTAGATTCTAAGAAGTTAATTATAACAAGATAACCATTAGTTCTGTGGATTCAGATAGAGCTCAAGTATAATAAAAGGTCATTAGTAGTTGATTATGCTATGCGAAGGAGAGGAGGAGAGAGAAAGAAGTGAATTGCAAGACTAGTCTCAGTGAGATTTTATGTCAGTATTTTTCATGACTCATATGTTAAAAACAGTGTACTCCTTCTATCTCAAAATATTGACCTTATAGTTTTGGTATTAGCATCCCAACAGTGCACTTTTATCTTTTTTTTAATACATCCTTTTTTGTTCCAATACATCTCAATCTCCGTCTTTTTCCATCTCTCCCTTCTTGTTTGTTGTGCGCCGTATCTTTTTCACTGTTTATTAAAAATTCTCGTGCTCAAATAAGATTAAGTATTTTGGAAGTTGACAAGTTTCAACCATGGTCACGCTGAGACTGAAGTATAGTGGCGTCAATTGAAGTGATGCACCGCACCAGCACACTGTTCTCTACTGCATGCTTCTTGAGTTCATCAACCATCAGGTTCAAATGAATAGTCAGGATCGCACTTGCGCCCTATTCGTTTGGGCTGATTTGGCTTATAAGTCGTAGCTGAAAGTACTATTAATTAATTTGATGTAAGAAAAAAATACCATTCGTTGACTGATAAATCATGACTTATAAAACAGACACGAGCAAGCGAACGGACTGTCGATTCATTTTCTGACGATCGTATTAATTTCTCACTGGTCCTGCTTCGCTGAAAAGTTAGACCGGCTATTCGCTAATTTATTGGATTTGAAAAAAATACTGTCACATATAATGGGATCTTTGCAACGAAGGACGTGGTCAGAGGCTTTCAATAGAGGTCCCATCAACAGTCTGGCTACAAACCGAGAGAGCTTGGACAAGGTGCAGCACCCAACACGCACAGTAGTTCCCTTCTCTCCCTCCGTCGCATCTCTTCCTTCGGTTGCTTGCGCTCACTCCAGCAGACGCCGCTGCCCCCCCGAGCCGCTAGACCCGACGAGTCCGCCGCGGAGAAGCTTGCGACGCGCCGCCGGCGCACTCGCGAGGAAATGGAGGATCGTGCGACTGCTGCTGCCGCCGCCGCCGCCGCCGGCGAGGGCGGGAGGGACCAAGAGGATGCGTCGCGTAAGGGGCTCGCTCCGCTGTGGAGCCAGAGCAACGAGGAGAGGAGGGCGCTCCGGTCGGAGTACGCCGACGTCAGGGCCATGATCCGCGACGGTACGTGCGCGCGGCGCTTCTCTAATCTCTACGACGACCCGCCGCTATTGTTTTCTGCGATCGTGCCGTCCTGTTGCCGAGGTCGATGGTCGGGTGTGCGATTTCTTATGCTCGCGCGTGTGTGTGACTGCAGAGGTGAAGGACGACCCTACCCTCGGCCAGTTCGACGCCGCCTTGAACAAGATTGAAAAGCTTCATGAAAAAGGTGGTTGCTTTTTCCGCCGCCGCTTCCTCTTTCGTTCTCGTTTCCCTCGTTGTTTCCTTCTTGAGTGCAAATCTAACTATACCTCGTGTTCATAGCTTGGTTGAGATGAATGCTTGTTATATCTGGATGCCTAGCCACTTATATTACTTGGTTGCGAGATTTTTTTTTCCATTGAAATGCTCCTTTTTTTTCCCTGCAATACTGCAAAAAAGCTCTTTTTTTCTTCATATATCTATTTCCAACTCGGCATTTCCAACACCATCGCGGCATTGCCCAAGGGAATTACTACTACAATGTAGTATCAAACAGCATTTCTTTGCATGCTCGTAATAATCTGTCCAACAAGCGTACCTCAACTTATTGATTCGCTTCCTGATGAATTGTCACTTTTCAGTGCAAGGTAATTGGAGCAAATTGCTGATGCTGAGGCTCTGCTGGACCTTGCCAATGCTCTGGTCTCTTCTACCAAGGTGGAAAACAGGGATGGTCCGACTCCATCAGAATTTATCACAGCTCTCATCAGCAAATTTGGTGCTACAGCCTCACCGCTTGTTGATTCTGATGGATCGTTCTCCTGGTCAAGCCTTGGTTGCGCGGTATCATGACTGTTCATGACAGCTGCCGGGTGCCAAACAATGTAAGATCTTCCTCCCTACACAAAATGTTGTTGCACTTGTTTGTTCGTTCACAGGCTGCAGTTTCAGATATCTTAACTGTCTTTGCAATGCTCCTGTTTGATGATAGGAATGGTCCTATGGGTCTCGGCCTCGCAGTCAAGGAACGAAGGCACACTGTTAGAAGACGATCAGGACACTTGGGTAGTGAGCCTGCAGAGGTGAGTTCCATCCATGCGTCTTCTTCTGAAGTCATGGTGACCAGATTTGTCGGTAACTCGTAAGAACTTGTTATAGATAAATCAAGGAGAACTGAGCCGTACCCTTGCTAGAGAATCTTACTTTTTTACTCGCCTTAAACAGATCAGTCGTCATGCCATTTACTAATAGACGTCATCAAGAGTTTATTTATTTCTGAACTATAAACCATTACACAGGTTTTATTTATGTGCCTCATGCCATTGAGTTTCTTAATTGGCTGAAAATTCTCATTAAAGTCTGATACTCACCCCACTCAATGGCTATCTATTGACCACAGGAGTCATATTTCATTTTCTTTATTGCTGAGGTATTTATGTCTTGCACAAATTTTCTGTGCAAGATAAATTTCTGAATTTTGATGTGCACAATTTTGCACTCTCTGAATCAGTCGCGCCACCACCTAAAAGATGCATCCTTGACTGATGCGTCAATTTATGCTCTTTATATAACTAGGAATTATTACACAGGCTCTTTTTAAATTATTTGTGCTGATGCATTAATTTATTTCCTAAGTTCTCGTTAAACTCTGACATTCACACACTGATTGTCTATCTGTTACCCATGGGGTTCCACTTTCTTATTGTTTAAGTACTTATTTGTCCAAGGGAACCATCTTGTTTAATTTTGTTGCCTCTGTCAAGATATGATAATGTAATTATTTTTTCCAGCCTGATGAATTGGCACCGGACCAAGATGAAAGGAATGACACTGACGAGAACATCGCTGTCATGTTCAACCTCTTAAGGAGTCACAGCAACAGAAATGTAAAGCTGGAACATCTCATCTTAAACCGTCCGTCTTTTGCACAAACCGTCGAGAACATATTTGCACTTTCGTTTCTCGTGAAGGACGGAAGAACAGAGATATATGTGGCTGACAATGGAGATCACTTTGTTGGTAAGTGCTGTCCCCGATCCTCCATCCACGCACCAACTGTGTATACTGTTTGATGGAGCTGCTTTCTTATTGTAGCACCAAGGAATGCTCCTTCAGCTGCATCGATAGCCTCGAGGGAAGTGGTCAACAGCCAGTTTGTCTTCCGGTTTGATACCGAGGACTGGTGGGTAATTTAGTTGGTCACCAGGATTAGGCTACACTATCTTTATCTACTTTATTATGCTATCGCGCGCGATGTGGTTGATTACCTTTTGTGTTCCTATTTCATTGAGTGTTTCTTTGTTTTCTGTCGTTCTGCACATTCACAGATAATGAAAGGCATGGTCAATCCAGGGGAGGAACTAATGCCTCATAGGAGTAGCTATCATGGAGGTGAATACAAGACGACCACACAATCTTGTTCTGCTCCTGATTGTTCTGAGCTGGCTTCAGATTCCGAGCACCCAAAAGAGTTCACAGAAGACGAAGAAGCAATGGAGTTAGACTTGGTCAAGTGCTGCTCTGGAGATGGCGGTCTCAAGACGAGGAAAAGGCAACATGTCGCTCGGAGGTTGTTCTGACTTAAGCAAGACGAAGTAGGCACATCAGCAAGTTAACACCATTTTGGAATTAGTGGACGAAAAGCAGTAGGTTCAGTAGCAACTTAACACCATTTTGGAAAAGCTTGACGAACGAAAAGCAAGTAAGCATGGTTAGGGAGCTTGTCGGTGCGAAATGTGGCCAGCAAGTAAATATTTGAAGCTTTGCCATGCGTTGTGATCGGATGTGACTTAGCACGTGATGACACAAGATTTATACTGGTTCAGGCAACGTGCTCTACATTTAGTTTCAGTCGGTCGGTGATTTTATTCCTGAACCCAGGTGCTCGAAGTTTTATGTGGGATAACAAACATGTCGGTGCGAAAAGTGATCAACAAATAAATATTTGTTATTTTGTCGTACGTTGTGATCGGATGTGGCCTAACACTTAATAACACAGGGTTTATACTGGTTCAAGCAATGTGCCCTATGTCCAGTTTGAGTCGGTCGATGACTTTATTCCTGAGCCTAGGTGCTCAAAGTTTACTGTAGGGTTACAAACGAGTGGGAGTAAGATAAGGGGTGTTAGAGGTCTGGTCGGACTTTGGACTGAAGAGCCAAGAGTGACGGGAGCTTCTACGTCCGTTAAGTATTGGAACGTATGCTCTGTGTAGCTTTAGAATGTCTAAAGCTAGCAGAGAGTGAGTCGGAATGATCCGTCTGTTGTCTGTTTGTTCGTTGTGTTGTCTGTTGTGAGAGGGAGAGAGTGTGTGCGTTACCTAGTGTTGCTGCCCACGCCGTCGGGTACAGGACGGTTTGTCGGCGCCCACAATACTGTTGACGTCTAGATGCATGTGATTGGCTCCATCGTGTTTTTCTGGTATGAAAGGACCTTGATGTCGCCTAGGAGCCCTAGAGAGAGGGTGAATAGGCCTGTAAAAATTCAACTCGAAACTCTGTTAGAACAGAGGGCGACACTGCCGCTCTTCAAAAATAAAGCAGACAGCGTTGAGATTTCACAGATAGTAACCTGACCCTCTCATCTGCTTAATCCTGCAACAGAAAGACAAAATCCAGTTCGAAGACTGGATACCACAGAAATCTCACACAAGAGAGGATCAAGCTACCAAACCCTAACAATCAGCTAGCAAAGAGTTGAACCAGCAAGAATACAAAGTGAAGCACGCGAGACACAAAATTTATCCCGTGGTTCAGCTCGCCACCAAGGCTTGTCTAAGTCCACGTTGTTGAGGCATCCACAAAAGGATTGGCTCGCCACCAAGGCTTGCCTTGTCCTCGTTCTCAAATCAAGAGAATGAACTCTTGAAGTGAGGGGTAATTTTTAGCTGTAGGATGAGGTTACAAACCTTTCAAGGCTGCCACACGAGTTGGCAAGCACAAGGGCGACGCCTAGCCGGCTAGGAGCAAGCTCCAAGAGTAACAAACCCTGGAACCGTCGGCCAAACGTGAACCAAATGCTCTTAGATTTTGGGAATCAGTGGATCTTCTCTCCAATCGAGTTTTGCTGTCTTTTCTCTCAAGTTTTGATGGTGGAAATCAAGGATTGCTTGAGGGATGAAGGAGCAACAATGGAGGAGAGAGAGGTGAGCTTTGGTCTGTTCAGTTTCGAACTGAACCGATGGAGAAGAAGGATGACCGTTGTGGGCCGGCCCAAATGATATTTATACCTCTTGGGTCCCAACGGTTGTTTATGGGCGGCACTGTCGCCCTAGTCAAAATAGGTAGAATCTGGAGATTTTTGGCTGGCTGCTTTGGCTGGGTAAGAGGATATAGATCTGTAGTTTTGAGCATCTGGTTGCACAGTTAACCAACTGTACTAGAATCCCTCTTTATAGTACGACTTTTCCTAAACTCAAATTTAAAGCATAAAAGAATGTAAATGCCTTTGAGCTGGTTGCCACTTTATTTGGTAATTGAGGACTTCTATTATCGAATATGTTTTCCTCATTCTCATTATACCTTAATTATGCGACTTGAACCATTTTCATACATATGAGTTCACCTTCATGGCTAAGTCACTTCCACTGATGATTTGATCCTCAACACAGTATGACTCCTCATAGCTTGATTAGTACCTTGACTCAATGTAAGTACTCTCTTCTTCACCTTAGCCATGGTACCTCGGTCGCTAAGGCGGCGCTTGCCCTTCACCTTCGCTTAGTACCTTGAAGCTCTTTCCTTGCTATCTTCACCCTATCAAGCCATACTTAAGTCACATTATATTAAGCATCCATTGAAAACCATTTCTTCAATATTTTGATCCTTGCTTGAATATTTTCTAGATATGAATGTTGAGATCAATCAAGCTTCAGTTTGTCTCACATAGAGACAAACATGGATCAACATCAATATGATCAAGCTAATTCACGATTCCTTATTCCCTTCTCATTTTGGCTTGACATTACAATTGATCTTTCATATATTCATCCATATAAGCAAACCAATGTAGAGACCGACTTATATCCACTATACATTGTCATTTACCAAGTATGTTTGCTTTCACATGATGCTATGATATCCCACAACATAGAAGCCATTTCATTGATTTCATTTGCATTGTTGTCTTTTGCTTGAACTAGACCGCTTTTATAAACTTCCAATACGACAATACACAGTTTGGCATTCACTTTAACATAATGTGGCATATCATCAAGTTTGCCTACTAGTTGAACCTTTTATATACTTGTTAATACACAACCCACAAGTATATGCAATAGACTCAATTTTCTGTTCAACACTTAGCAAACTTATTAGACCTTTAATTGTGTTGTCATTTAATTTACCAAAACCCACTAAAGGGTTAGATGCACTTACATAGTATGACAAATATCGGCGCCTACCATACTGTAGGACAAATGTCGGCGTCCACAACACTGTTCGTGTTCTGACATGTCTGGAAGGTTGTAAAGTATCCTTCTGACATGGCCTGACAGTATTGTCCTGCATGTGTGCAGGGTACGGGCCTCGGTATTTGCGGTTGACTTGTGCGCCTCACCTTATCTGCTTCACCTGATTTCTCGGGTCCTCACCGAGCGGGCGTCCCCATTCGGTCGTTCCCAGTCGGCTCCGACCGCGCCAGTCGGAGAAAAGCCATAAGCAGAGGTTCGGTGTATTCCTGGTCGGAGACGCGGGTCAGAGTCGGAAGTGAGTGGCGTCCCCTTCTTGGCCAGGCCTTCCGGTTGGAGAAGCGGGTCGGAGTCGGAAGCGAGCGTCGTCCCCTCCTTGGCGAGGTACCCGGTCGGAGACGTGGGTTGGAGTCGGAACCGAGCGTCGTCTCCTCCTTGACCAAGCCTTCCGATCGGAGACTGGATTGCTCTTCCGGTCTGTCGTTTAGGTATCTAGGCCGGCTCAGGAGTTGCGCGTCGTTCGCAACGTCGTTTGCTGGGCCGAGCTTTTGCTGGGGAGCAGGCCCATTAGGGACCCCGGGTTTATGAACCCGACAAAACGAGTAAGGAATAAGAAAGGGGGTGTTAGAGGCCCGGTCGGACTCGAAACCGAGTGGCAGAGAGTGACGGATGCTCAAACGTGCGCTAAGTTTTGGAGCGTATGCTTTGTGTGTCTGAGCTTATCAGCTGTTGAGAGTATGTAGACTGTGTAGCTGTCGAGTTCTAGAGTTATTGTGCTGTCTCTCCTCAGAGGAGAGAGCGCATCCCCTTTTATAGATGAAGGGAATGGCCTTACAAGTCAAAGACGGAAAGGGAGAGTGTGTGTACGGGTGTTACCTAGTCTTGTTGCCCACGTCGTCGGGTACGGCATGCCATCGCCACCTTACTGTTCATGACCTGTTGTACCTGGCAGGCTCCTGGTAGGCTGCACGGTGTTCACTTGGGACGGCAAACGACGGCGCCCACAATACTGTTTGTGCTCTGCCGCGTCTGGCAAGCAGTGTCCATCTGACATGGCCTGACGGCATCGTCCTGCAGGTGCGCAGGGCATGGCAGGGTACGGTCCTCGGTATTGCGGTTGGCTTGAGCGCCTTACCTTATCTGCTCCGCCTGCTCTCCAGGCCCACACCGAGAAGGCGTCTTGGTCGGTCGTTCCCAGTCAGGCCCGACCGTGTCGGTCGGGAAAGAGAGGCGAGTAAAGGTCCGGAATATCCTCGGTCGGAGGAACGGGGTCGGAGTCGGACTGCAACCCCACCTCGACCAGGCCTTCCGTCCGACCAGGTCTCGTGGCCGGAGGTGCCAGTCGGGGACCGGATCGTGGTCACAGCCTCTCATTGTGTATCTAGGCCGGTCTAGACACGCTGTCGCTGCGTTGCCTGCTGGAACAAGTATTGCAGGGAAGCGGTCTATTGGGGACCTCGGGGTTATGAACCCGATGGAGCTTTTTAGCCTGTTCGGCTGGTGCTGATACGATCGTATACGATCATAGATTATTACTGCTGGCTGGTTTAGTGTGAGAAAAAATACTGTTCTAGCTTATAATCCACGATCGTTTACGACCAAGCAACCTGTTTGTTTGCCCTTGCTTTCCTGCTAGGAGGGGTACACGACGTTTCAGAGTTCAGACTGAAAAACGTGTGGCTGTAAGTAGTTCTAATGTAAGGACCTTTCAACATCTATGCTAAAGGCCTTTTATTCGACATCCGCTTGGTTTCGCTCCGTTTTTTTCTAGATCTGCGTGCAAACTTGGTTTCGCTCCTTAGGCGGTGGCTCCCTATTTCTTTTCAGAACTAAACACACTCATGATGGAGATGAGAATCCAGATAATAAAAAAAAATCCGATGTGCGATGTATGGCTGTTTGTACTGAGATTGGGATTTGGGAAGCATCTTCTCCTCTACAGACTGAAGTACTAGTGGGCTTAGTGGCGCTAATGCAATGAAGTGATGCACCAGTACACTGTCCACTACGGCATGCTTCCTGAAATTTCATCAGGCTCAAATGAATGAATGGTAAGGATCCCACCTAATTCATCTTCTGACAATCTGTACGGTGGATCAACCGGTGAGGCAGTAACATCCGCCCTACCTAAAATTTCAAGCTAGGTTCGCCACTGCCATCCTAGCAAGCAAGCC